TTTTTTCTTGCCCCTTGGCAACCCTTATCACACTTGCAATCTTGCTGGATAGATTGTCATGTGAAGAATTATGCTTCCAGTGGATGATAGTAGACCATAGAGTTCCTTCATGCTTTATCTATTATACAAAAGCGTGAGCAGTTTTTCTGGAGCGTTCGGTGAGAGGTTGAACCGGAGAAGGCCGCAGGTCTTCAAGTGTCTGCCTGAATGTCATCCGCTGGAGGCCTCCACTTGACACGCACCTCTGAGACATGCAGATGGACTTTCCATGTTGAGATGACAAAAATAATCGAGTGAAATCATGACAGCGACATGAGTTCGGAAGCAGTCTATATTCCGTATGTCTTCTCTTTATTTCCGACTCTTTGGATTTGAATCCCGTAACGCTGCCATACCTGCAAGACATTGCTGTGAACAAATCACATTTACTTTCTGCATTTGTGAATGAAACTATTTTCCGATCCTTTTTTCAAACTTGAGTCTTGAAAAAGAAGGGGTCGTCTTATAATCAGGGCCGTCTTATATTCAGGCCAATACGGTACAAAAACACTGACAGCATTTTTGAAAAAGTTAACAAGACTGCTTGACAGAGTTACGATGCCTGCAGCCAGTCGCTTAACCCATTCATGCACCCTGTAACCTGATAACATGATAAACTGTCCACTGTGGTAACCGATGTCCCTGAAAGGGGTAAACATCATTCAGTTTCGCATGCCTGCTCCCACGTTCAACAAGAAAAGATATTCAGAACATTTTAGTCCTATTTACGATGTTTTCTAAGACCCTGAACAAGAACAGCAGTGACAGGAAAAGGATCAGCACACACAGGAGAAAATTCCCATCCACACCAATTGTGGGGATCTCGGTTTATTCTCGTTCATCCACAGCAAAATGAAAGCAGCCTGATGATACGTTGTCCGCTTGCTCAGACATGAACCGCGGAAACGAGCACTTACTTCACCTTCCGTTGCAAAAATGGCAACCAGCCGTCTCCTAACATTTCCTGTGTCCGACCTGGCAACACAGGTGGCTAATCCGGGTCTAGAAAGTAAACGGCCGGCCACTACACAACACCTGTGGCTAAAGCCAAACTCTGACTGGGTTTTTACTTTCGGACCTGGATTTGTCACTTGCATCTGGCGGGAACTTTCTGCGTCAATTTATCCACATAAATAAGACAATCTTTATCAGACATTCATGACGCTATCTACCTAATAGCCATGGCTCAGGAGGTAGCGCGGGCCGTCCCGTAATTGAAAAGTTGGCTGTTTGAATTCCGCTCTGTCCGAGTTGTCGTTTGGTCCTCGGGCAACACTTCACCCACTTGGCCTCCATTGTCACTCACACGGGTGTACGGCTGGGTGTAAATGTTTGATACTACAGTTGCTTACTGGCAGCCACGCTTCTGCCCGCCTGCCCCAGGGCATCTCTGGCTACAGAATGTACACTGATAAAAAAATAGTGTGTTGAATTTGCTCAGTTGTATTTTGTCAAGTGGTTGTATGATATCAATCCATCTCAATCAATATACATTTTTTTTAATTTAGACAATACGTGGCCCGGTGGGTGATCCAGTGGTTAGTGCGTTGGCCTCACAGTGCAGAGGTACCGGGTTCGATTCCTGCTCCGGCCTTCCTGTGTGGAGTTTGCATGTTCTCCCCGGGCCTGCGCGGGTTTTTTCCGGGTACTGTACTATGGTTTCCTCCCACATTCCAAAAACATGCATGGCAGGCTGATTGAACTCTCAAAATTGTCCCTAGGTGTGAGTGTGAACGCAGATGGTTGTTCTCCTCTTTGTGCCCTGCGATTGGCGGCCAACCGGTTCAGGGTGTCCCCTGCCTACTGCCCAAATACAGCAGGAATAGGCTCCAGCACCCCCCGCGACCCTTGTGAGGATAAAGCGGATCAAAAAATGGATGGATGGATGGATGGATGGATGGATGGATGGATGGATGGATGGATGGATGGATGGATAGAGTATACATCCATAATAAATGATTCTATGTCAGGAGATAAAAGAGGGAAACTTTATTTGTGTACAGGGAATTTTTTTTTCATCAAAACAGGTACAGTATTGTGTATAATTTATCCTAAATATGCATTTTCACCTTCTACTTTAGTGGATTTTAGAATCTGTCCTTTTTTTTTTTTGCTTTTACATGTGCAGAGTGTGTATTCTTCTGCTGCTACCTCTGCTGTTGGCTAAAACCGTTTTTCAGCCTGCTGTATGAAAAACATCGTCTGTATTCATCGTCGAATTAATATACATTCACAAGCCCGCTGCACAGACAGAAGAAACAACGAGCGGGTGTGTGGCGTGCCTGTCTGAATCCATCGCACTGACTCACTTCATACCCTCAAGAGCTGCAGCTAGGGCGCTGCCTGTGCTGTCTCTTGTCTTTCTTTGGGCTGTTGCAGCAGAAGGAGGTCAAATGTGCGGGTACGTGCCGATGACAGCTAACGTTTTTTAATTTCTCAAGCAACGCGTTGGTGCGTGTTATTGGTGGCAATATATGCATTGTGTCTCTGCTTGGTCAGATATGTTAGTTTGTGTTTTCAAGGGTCAATACACCTAAAGCTATTAAAACAAAGTATTATTTGGGAAAATGAAACTCGACCCTTCCGCACTCTTTGGCTGTTTCAAGTTATGGGCATAGAGAAGTCCTCATTTGTCTTTTTTTTTTTTTTTTTTACATCCTGTGTAGTATTTAAACCTTTCAGGGACAGCGGTTACGACAGTGGACAGCTTATCTTGAGTTAACTTTATATGAGATGAAGGTGACCTTGGCTACTCGCGTCACCTTTTCGTTTTGATTTACCAGCTTGTGCAGTTTTACATTAAACTACTGCCACAGTGACAGCCATATTGTTAAATGAATGCGCCCTTTTACAGTGACAACCAAACCTGCCGATTGTCGTCTTTGTAAAGGCAGAATTATTGACACAGCTTCTGTTTTGAACAATTAGTTGTGCACACTGAGTGTATAAGACTACAACGAACAGTCGATTTCACTCCAGGATTAATGGCTCCCTTTCCTTGTATAGGTAGGAATGAATTATGTTCTGAAAACATGTTAATCAGGCTTAATCTTAAGAGGGGAATTGTTCAGAGGACATCATTGTTTGGGAAGCCCCCAGGCTTACAATAAAGCAAGAGGGAGGCATAATAAGCATATGTGTGTGTGTGTGCATGTGTTCAATAATTACCGTTGTGCCCTCGTGAGGATCCATAGAAAAATGCATTTTTTTTTTGTTAGCCTGCTTGGTTTTTTTTTTCTGTTCTTTGTTGACACAACAATGCTGTATTCGGCACCACACAGATAGCATGTCAACTCAATAAAGTGTCTCAAAGTATCGATTCTACTACGATGACGACACTAATACATAAGATACAGCAGTTCAAAGAAGAGCCGCCATAATTTAAAACACAAATGCATTCATTCATTTGGAATGAGTGTGATGAATATGTATGAAGTGCAAATGAAGGTTTCTGTCTTTGTTTTAAGGGAGTTTTGCTCTGAGCCACCAATCAGAAGATGGAAAAATGCTGACGTTGTTGTGTGCCAGCTAGCTGGGCCCCCTGGGGGCAAATTTGAAATCCAGTAGGTGAGATGAACAGACCCAAAAGACTGACACGGCAGCACGTATGAGTCTGAAAGCTTTAAAAAAAAAAAGTGAAATAAAAGGGTTAGAAGGACAGATAAATTGGCGCAGGGAAGGGAAGCAAAAAGCCTGCAGGAACAAACAGCAGAGAGGCTTTAGAGCAACAAAACAGCCTGATTAAAAAAAAAAAAAAATCCTCCTCCGTGGCCATTGCGGGTGTTGGCATTTAGCTACGGATCTTATGGCTGGAGCTACGAGTGATGCAGGCCCTGACTGAGTAAACAGCTTGATATTGACAAACACTCCACTCCTCCATTCAGCTGAAGTACGTTACACTCCAAGTCAATGAATGGTCCCACTTAACACATGGATGGGTAGAAGTGACGTGTGTTCAACTGAAACAAAGTTGTGGCTTTTTTTGGGTGTGTCTGGAAAAACCCTGTTCAATTCATCAAATGATTTTGTTTATGATTACACTATTCCTCTACATGACCATTCATTTCATATGCAGTCTACTGCATCAATAAAATCTGGTGTCATTTCAACAATTAATTTCCAACTTTATACCAATCTTTTATTTTATTTTATTTTATTTTTTACGAGGTCAGATTCCCATTCAATTCCACACATCCATCCTTTTTCTAATCTGCTTATCTCAGCTGTCTTCGGGCAGTAGGTGGGGGGGGGGGCACCCTGAACCAGTTGCCAGCCAATCACAGGGCACCAATAGACAATTTTCACAATTTTGTTTTTTGGAATGGGGGAGAAAATCGGAGTACCCGGAGAAAACCCACGCGGGCACTGGAAGAACACGCAAACTCCACACATGAAGGCCGGAGCTGGAATGGAACCCAGCCAGAATCGATGTTATCGTAGAATAACTGAATGTTGTTCATGCTTTCTTTTTGCGTCTTACAAGTGTGCAGTTCTATGTCTCCAGATATTGTGTTAAGAAGCTTTTATCTATCAAAACCAACAACAACAAAATAAGCAGTAGCTCCCCAAAGTGTGGTGCAGGCCCTGCATCAGGAGGCGTGCACACAGATAAAGAGTATTGAGTTCCATGCAAATAGCCTCTTGCTTGAAATAAAGGTGGAAGCGCAGAACAAAACAGTTACCGGAGGGGCCAAATTAACAAATGCTAATGTCTCTCTTTTGGACGCTCCTTGGCAATAAATGTCCCCGAGTGGACCGTTCCCACAAGCATTTTGCAACCTAGCTCAAGATAAATGTTTAATACATGTGAGAGAAGCCACAGGCGGGTCATAAACGTCTTCTAGTAAAAAACTGTATTTACTAGAAATTTCAGCGCGCCACATCATATCACGGTCAAATCGGGTCTTTTGCTGTAACATTGTTTCCGAGTAGTAAACCTCCTTTTGTTTTTTTCTGTGAAGGTGGCCAACCTCCTGCGACTCTTCCAAATCCCTCAGATCAGCTACGCCTCCACCAGCGCCAAACTAAGCGATAAATCCCGTTATGACTACTTTGCCCGCACCGTTCCCGCGGACTTCTACCAGGCCAAAGCCATGGCGGAGATTCTGCGTTATTTCAATTGGACATACGTGTCGACCGTAGCCTCGGAGGGCGACTACGGCGAGACGGGCATCGACGCCTTCCAGCAGGAGGCCCGCTCTCACCAAATCTGCATCGCCACCTCGGCCAAAGTGAGCCGCTCCATGAACCGCCAGGGCTTCGAGAACGTGATCCGCTCCCTGCAGCAAAAGTCCAACGCCAAGGTGGTCATCATGTTCACCCGCAGCGAGGATGCCAGGGAGCTGCTGGTGGCCGCCGCCCGCATGAAAGTCTCCTTCATTTGGGTGGCCAGCGACGGCTGGGGGGCGCAGGAGAGCGTGGTGAGGGGCAGCGAGACGGCAGCCGATGGCGCTTTCACCATCGAGCTGGCCTCCTACCCCATCAGAGAGTTTGAAGACTACTTCACGAAACTGAACCCGTACACCAACACCAGGAACCCCTGGTTCAAGGAGTTCTGGGAGCACCGCTTCGGCTGCAGCCTCCAGGAGCACGGATGCAGCGACCGCAGCCTCAGAGACGGCACTTTTGAGCAGGAGTCCAAGATCATGTTTGTGGTCAACGCGGTCTACGCCATGGCCTACGCCCTGCACAACATGAGGCAAGCGGTGTGCTCTAACACATCCAAGGTCTGTGAAGCCATGAAACCGGGCAACGGAAAACGCTTCTACAAGGAGTTCATCCTGAAGACCAAGTTTGAAGGTGAGCAAAGGAGTTTCGTATCAAATGATAATACCGACCAGACCAAGACTCGACCCGAACAGTCCGACTGATCGACAGACAGATATTTGTCATTCACACTGGAATTTAGTGTTTCAGTCGTCTGAATTTCAGATATTACCGATAGGAAAAAACATGATATTATCGATATGTATGTACCGTATTGGACCGAATATAAGACGGCCCTGATTATAAGGCGATGCCCTCTTTTTCAAGACTCAAGTTTGAAAAAAGACTTTTTGAACACCAAATAAATTTTTATACAGAAAATAATGACAGTACCTCTGAAACAAATGATTCTAACAATATATTTGAGAGAAAAAGCATGTTATTTTGCCTCATTCAAATCTTAATATCTGAAGATTTAAATATGTAAACTAAAGTGCAATCACATTCGTAAGTGAATGGCTTCTGGTTTTTGAAATGTAAATGACATCATAACTTCTCCTCAGCTGCCGGTTAACCTGGCCGATCTTTGACCCACTTTTCTCCAGATTGTCGCTATGTTTCTTCATTTTCTGTTATCTCTTCTATTATTTTCTTCTCTTTTCCTACTTACCGCTATTTTTTATTTTTCTTCTTCGTGCTACCGCTATTTTTATTTTTATTCTTCGTGACAGGGGTTTGCTTTGGCCTGGGGAGTCAAGTTCAGCATTCGCTTCAATGGTGTCTGGCGCCATCTATCGCGGTGAATGGGTATAACGTTTAGACCCCGAATATAAGACGACCCCCACTTTTTCAGTCTTATTTCAATGCAAAAACCACCGTCTTATATTCGGGCCAATACGGTATTAAAACATTTGAAGCAAATGACTGAAGTGCTAATTCTTCTTGTTCCGCCCCCCCCAGCTCCGTTTCGACCCGTCGACACAGAGAACATGGTGCGCTTCGACTCGGTTGGCGACAGCATCAGCCGCTACAACATCTTCCACTACCACAAAGAAGACGGGAAGTTTGTCTACAAGAAGGTCGGCTACTGGGACCAGAACCTGACCCTGAACACCACCCTGGTGAGCTGGCGCGGCCTGTTTCCGCCCACCTCGCAGTGCAGCGACCCCTGCAGGAAGAACGAGGTGAAGAGCATGCAGCCCGGGGATGTGTGCTGCTGGATCTGCATCCCCTGCCAGCCCTACCAGTACCTGCAGGATGAGTTCACGTGCGCCGACTGCAGCTTCGGGCAGTGGCCCCTAGACAACCTGACGGGATGCTACAATCTGCCCGAAGAATACATCCGCTGGGAGGACGCGTGGGCCATCGGGCCCGTTACCATCTCCTGCTTGGGAATAATGTGCACCCTGTCTGTGGTGGGTCTGTTCTTCAAGCATAACGAAACACCCGTGGTGAAGGCGAGTGGACGTGAGCTCTCCTACATCCTCCTGCTGGGGGTCCTCATGTGCTACAGCATGACCTTCATCTACATCGCCAAGCCGTCCACCGCCGTTTGCACGCTCCGCCGACTGGGCCTGGGCACGTCGTTCGCCGTGTGCTACTCGGCCCTTCTCACCAAGACCAACCGAATCGCTCGCATCTTCAGCGGCGTGAAGGACGGCGCCCAGCGGCCGCGATTCATCAGCCCGGCCTCCCAGGTGGCCATCTGCGGAGCGCTTATCTCCTGCCAGCTCCTGGTGGCCGTCATCTGGCTGCTGGTGGAGGTGCCCGGCGTGAGGAAGGAGGTGAGCCCGGAGCGGAGAGACGTGGTCACCCTCAAGTGCAACAGCAGGGACTCCAGCATGCTCATGTCGCTCACCTACAACTGCGTCCTCATCGTCCTCTGCACCGTCTACGCCTTCAAGACGAGGAAGTGCCCGGAAAACTTCAACGAGGCCAAGTTCATCGGTTTCACCATGTACACCACCTGCATCATCTGGCTCGCCTTCCAGCCCATCTTCTACGTCACGGCCAGTGACTACAGGGTAACTATTGTTCTGTTAGGATGCTGCAGAGGGATGTCAGATGTATTTTTATAGGCGATATCATGTATGAATGCATGATATATATTTCACTGCGCAAAGTCTCCCGAATGTTGAACAGATATTATAGCAACATATACGATTTAAACATTAATTTGAACTATGTTGAACATTGGAAAAACAGCATTTGTTGCCTTTCCACGCTTCCAGAATTTCAACTTTACCGCAAAATCCAATCATTTGGACCCTTTAGAAAAGTTTTATGATTTGCAAATTTTTATGCTACTCCTTATTTCAACAGCACTTGTGAAGTTTCATCCTTGAAAGAAACAAACAAAAAAATGACGCCATTTACTTTCGCTCCTCTTAAAATTGGACTTTCAGCACAATAAACAATGCCAAAAAAAGTAAAGTTGTCTGGGATGGCCAGTGCACATTTTGACTCGTGTGATCAAAATTTGAGTTGATGGAAAAAAATAATCATCATTTATTTTGACAGCATAATAAGAAACAAAAGTGAAAGAACTCTCCAAAATGAAAACGCCCATTGGCTCTGCCATCCTTGGTCTTGGCAACTGAAGCGTTTGTGTATTAGTGTCATGCATTCTTGCATAATTATCACCCTGAAAACAAAGGTGTCACTTTCACTTTATATTTGATCACTCACACAACCGTGAAACATTCTTCTCATGCCTTCTCAAGTTGGAGCGAAAATGTGAACATTTCATTAACAACTGATTCATTCAACAGTGACTCATAATAACGAGTGAAATTAGTTGCAGCCGAAGTTATCCGTGAAAATAAAACAAAGAGTTTTGCATCGTTGTTGCACGTGAATAAAGTTTTGCTTGAGGTGTTACACATATGGCCAAAGGTGGGCTTTAATCTGTGTGTCACAAACAATCAGGAACAAATAGACACATTTTGCATAACTGTGTTGCCCAGCTGCACTGCCTCATACCGATGGCTGTTTCCAACATTTTTCTAATCTCATTTAAATAAACGACAAGCGAAAAATGACAGAAACAAAATAGGGGTTCTTTGGGGTTCAATATTACAATTTAGAGTTAAATAGATATGGTTGCAAAACTCATTTATAAAAATCAATGTGGAATATGACTGACTTAAGCAATAGGAAAACACTAGGCCAAAGACCCTATAGTGTGAATTCAGAGATTTGTTTCTAAATACAAATATTAAAACTTGAATATCTTCGTGTCTCGCGCGAGTCATTTTAGCGATTATTACTATTTCTCTGACTACGGCGTACACTTAGCTAGCTAGCTATGCCCACATCCCGAAAATGTATCTTTCCTGGATGTCACAAATTACCTTACATAACTGTGTCATTATTTATATTGTCAAGCGAGGAGGTGATGCCGCTGGTCGCCGAAAAAAAGCTTCAGAAGTCTGTTAGCTTGTGAGCTAGCTGATAGCTGGTACCTCGCTCGTGATTTAATCATGTAGCAATGTGTAGGCAAAGGAAAATTGCTGGAAAAAAGTATAATCCATTTTTCAGCGGGAGGAGACAACAGCTTGATTTTTTTTTTTTTTTTTTTACGATTTTGAAGCTTCATTTTACATACTCATTCAAATTTGAAAGGGTTGCGGTGCGGTGTGTCAAATTTTCAAAACATTTATTTTCGCTTTACAGAGACTTTAAGGAACAAATCAAGAGACTGTTGGGAGTGAAGCAAAAATATCCCAACAGCCTTTGCTGAAGTGTTTTTTTTTTTTTCCCCAACCCACAATATTTTTCCAGGTGAAAGTAAAAACATGTGAGGCTCCTCCTGCATGTTTGGGAGGTCATGGGGCGTCTCTATTCACTTCATGCTGCGCATCTGCAAATAGAAGTTCCTGGACTGTGGGGATAGCCAGTGGCATTGGAAGAGATGATGCTCAGGCAAATGACCTCACCGGTCAGCTCATATTAGAGGCCGAAACATGACTAACATGCCCCTGACTGTTCATTACAACTACATATGATTGACATTCTTATCTGCTTTTGCCTTCACATGCAGTACACGCACTCACATTCAGGCTTAAAAAAATATAGACATGTAAGGACAAAAGTCCTTGGAGGTGCTGACTGGATTGCTAAAACCAGCATATTATGCTGTGGTTGCAATCACAACCTCACCGTGTTGTTGTGGGCCAAATTTGTGCAGTACGTTTCTCGAGTGAGTTCTGCTCTGCCATATTAAGTGCCCTGGAGCAAAGTGTTGAACTCTCTGTCCCTCCCCTTCCTAATAACTGTGGGGTGCGACGGTGTGATTCAGCCCCCTTACTCTGACATCTCAGTGTACAATGAATTTGCCCTTAGGGGAAAAGCAAAACATTCTATTTATTCATACTACTTTTATTTATATAATTGTGCCCTTCGGAAGGTCCTATATAAATTATTACTATCATTATTAGTCCGTAGTAATAGTAGGATATACTGTACATACATACACCCATGTAGGTTGACACATTACTGAGCGTTTTTGTTTGTTTGTTTGTCTATATAGCTGGTATCAGGCCGAATCTTTGTACGGCCGTACCTCCAAAATAATCACTTTTTACAAGACCCCAAAAACGGCATGTTTGTTCAACCATGAACATTGTATTATTTGTGTGTTTTGTTTGTGTGTAATGTTTGTGAATGCAAACACTTTGTTTTCTTCTTTCTTCTTTCTACCCACAATCTTGCTGCTGTAGACTGTAAATTTCCCCAGTGTGGGACAAATAAAGGATATCTTATCTTATCTTATCTTATTGTCAAACAGAATTAGTCTTTTCCAACGTTTTAGATTGGTCACTAGTGTCAGGTTTATCCAATTTGATACTCAGGAATAAAACACAAGGAGGAGACAGGAGACTCAATTCTGGTACCAGGAGGGAACGAGGAGAAGCGTTCGGTTTCAGTTCTCGGCACGTCACCCCTCCCGATCTCCCCCTTCACCCCCTTATTTATTGGGAAATCTACTACATAGGTGTGTCCAACCTAAAGGGTGGGGGCTGTTGAAGGCACACTGAACTTGTTTGACTATGTGTGTGTATGTGAGTGTAAATTACGTACATGTGTGCAATTGTTACAAAAACATCACGTTGCAGCTGGTGTTGATGGCTCCATTCACTGTCCAACCTTGCTCCTGTTGAGTCTTAACACTTATCTCTTCCCAACCACGTCCTCGGAAAGGTGGTTGCGTCCCTAAACTTCCACACAGTGCACTAAGCATTCTTGATTATAAATGTGAGTATATAAATATAATACAAAGGATTATAAATGTGAGTACATAATGATTAATATATCTTTATTAGAAGCATAAGCGTTCTTCATTGCAGGCATAGTCAATTAATGATTGCAGGCATAAGCGTTCATCTTTACAAGCATAATCAATTTATCATTGCAGGCATAAGCTTTCTTCTTTGCGAGCATAATCAATCAATCAATCAAGATCAAAATAACAATAATAACATTAATGATAAGCGAATGTATGATAACTAAAAATAATCAATCTATCAACTAGTTTGTAAAATAAATAGCACCCACACATGTGGACTGACAAGGAGTATCTGATAGATTTGTGAAAAAATATCAAATTGAACAGATTTTACAAAGGAATTCTGATCCAGTGCCAATGATATATAATATGATAAATTCAAAACATTTTATAAATAATGACCGTATTGACTGGAAATAAATAATCTTAATTATTCGTTTACATTTTGTACACATTTGTGTGCATGTATGTGTTTTTAATTGAGTGTTTTTTTTTTTTATTTGACTGATGGTCTGACGTTTGTGTCCATCCATCCATTTTCTGATCTGCTTTATCTTCACAAGGGTGCAGGGGGTGCTGGAGCCTATTCCAGCCGTCTTCGGGCAGTAGGCGGGGGACACCCTGAACCGGTTGCCAGCCAATCGTAGGGCACACATAGACAAACAACCATTCGTGTTCACCACCACACTCAGGGACAATTTAGAGTGTTTCATCAACCTGCCATGCATGTTTTGGGAATGCGGGAGGAAACCGGAGTACCTGGAGAAAACCCACGCAGGCACGGGCAGAACATGCAAACTCCACATCCGGAATTGAACCCTGCACCTCTGAGGCCAATGTGGCAACCAGTCGGTCACCGTGCCATCCCGACTGGGAAAATCGCACTAAATATTTCAACGTTTGGATATGCACCCTTTGTGTAATTGGTGATTTAATCATCCAGTGGAATAATGAATTCCTGCTTGCTATGTGATGATGGGGGATGGTAGGAGCACAGCTGATGTATTCAAGTGATTTCGGACAACGAGTTGAATGCGCATTGTTCACCCTCTGCCATCCCATGTATCCCGGCAGGTCCAGACCACCACCATGTGCATCTCTGTCAGCCTGAGTGGCTCCGTGGTCCTGGGCTGCCTGTTCGCTCCCAAGGTCCACATCATCCTATTCCAGCCTCAGAAGAACGTGGCCTCGCTGCGGGTCACAGCCAACCGCTTCAGTGCCACCGTGTCGGCCTCCGCATCCGCTCCCAGCTCCAGTTACTCCAAAGGTGCACACATTCACACAACCATCAACGCCCCCAAAAATCCATAATATACAGTATGATATGCAGCAAATACGGTCACCAAATATGGTTCCTAGCCTGGTGACGTGTTTGATAACATCACATGATATGACATCACTGAAACATTTGTTCTGAACATCTCTCAGGGTCAGCGTCCAACTATGTGCCAGCGGTGTGTAACGGTCGCGAGGTGGTGGACTCGACGACTTCCTCTTTGTGAGCGCATGCTATCATCGGTGCGAAAAAAGGCCCGGTTGCTAGAGAGACAATATGCAGGCTGAACCGATGTTGCCCCAGCGAGGAGTACGGATGGCTTGTATAGATTTCATATACTGTGACTTGTTTGGTTTACACTTTGATGTGGTGATTTAGTAGGAAATCATTCAAAAAGTTAGGCACTCCAAGGCCGGAATACTCTGTTGTTGGGGGGCGGGGGTCACACTGTCATTATTGTGAAATCTTTATTGACTGTACAGGTTAGCGTGGTAACATTCTCAACGATCGTAGTGTAAAAAAAAAAGAAGTTGACCGTGGAAATAGTTTAGAATTTTCAAGCTTTATTTTTGCGCATTTTAATTCAAAATGAAATTCATCAAATTTGCCATCATGAAAAAAAGGTATTATAAATAAACCACACTAAAACAAAAGAATATTGCAGATTTTTTTTTACAAATTAGAATGACAGCTTTTTTTTTTCGTACAAAATCCTAAATTCTGGCGAGAAGTGGCTCGTGGACGCCTTTGCACCGTGCCTTGTCTTGACTCGTCATGTTATATATGTGGCAGTAGCGTAATACGGATGTTCTTATATCTTCTTGTCCTTCCAGTGCTGTGAACATATCCAATGTTTGAAGACTAATGATATTTAACTTTGTCTGTCTGTAAAAATGTGACCAACTGTAGTGAGCATAATATGGAAAATTAGGCAACTACTGATGTATGAATGTGCTGATGTAGACATTCTAGAACGTGTGCTTTTATGTAACTAATGTAAATAAAAACTTTTTTTGTAATATCAGAATTGTATTTGTTATCAAAAAAAAAAAGCCAATGAGAAGTGTAATTGAGAAAGAACTTGACACCAATCTCCAAGTATAAATAATTCTCCTTTTTGTAAAGTGTATCGAGCATGAGCAATTGTACTCATACGGGCGTAACACTACCTTATGTCTGCTTCCAAGTAAACCTGAGATCCATCCAATTTCATAACACGAACATGTTGCTTTCATTTGTGCAGAATGAAGTCATTCGCTGAATGTATTTGAAAGACTTTCACCAATTTTACGCTGTGACGCGCATCCGTGGAATTTCTTTTCATTTTTTTACAGAAAGGGGTAGCTTGGTGCCATTTCAGTTAAATGGCATGTTTGAAAGCTCATTACTTTGTGTGGAAATTTGTAAGTCAACCTAGAGAAAGACCTGAGATAATAAATCCATTTGGGCACCTGATGCAAGTTTTTCAATACACTGGACAATCATTTCAGTTCCACTTTCAGACTTAACTGCTCGTCGGCTCCTTGCGGCTCCTTTTTAAAGGGATTAACAGTGCAAACTTAAGTATATATTAGCATTAGCAAACATTAGCATTCATTCAGGAAAATCATTCCAAACATGAATTTTCCAAGTTTAGATTACCAAAAAATGTTACAAATAACCAACTTTCCAACACTAAATAACTAAGAAAGATAAATATAGAAATTCTCATCTCATAGTCATGTTCTGGTGTCAAAATGAAATGTTTTCAGGGTACGGCAAACAAAGGAATGAGCTTCACTGTTTCAATACTTTTGGAGGTGAGTGTTGTGATCCACCCATTCATCCTCACATCACCCTGTAAATTTTTCGCTGTCAATGGTGTTACCCAACAAACATCATTCTCAAAAGATTTTTTTTAAATAAAGAGTAACATTGTGGCATAAGGTTTTGAACACCTTTAATCTACAAAAGAAAAAGTCAAAAGTCCACTATTCCGCTGTCGGGGCTTCATCTTGATTGGGAGTTTTCCTTTTCAGGGGAATGATACAGATGCCGTTGCGAGCCTCTTTTTGTCTCCACCATCGACCCAATCTGCACAGAGAAAGATGAAATGTTAACACCGAGGCTCACAAATGTATATCCCTATTTTCCAATTGACGCATGGACAACAACTAATGCACTTCAAGCGCACTTTAACGACAAAAGTATAGGGATAAACCATTTATTCAAAATGATCATTTCCTCCTTCATGTCAGCAAGAGAGTTTGTGCTTCCAACTTTGTGGGTCCAGAATGAGGAAGGGTTTTTGTGATAGACAGTGTCCCACAGAGATGCCCTCTCTCTGGTCGAATTTCAGTAACCTCTGACACCCCAATGTTCAATAGTCCCTGGAGGTAGAGCTGCAGAGGTGGAACTGCCTCCATATTTTCTTCCTGTAAGGTTCAATGGGCCCTTGCCCCTCCAGTAAAGGCTCGCAGATTAACAAATACTACTCCTACTGGTAGGTGTGAAAATTCACAACTGATTACCCGTATATGGTAACGGATGCCTGCTCAACATTAGGTAGAGTAAATGCCCAACTTAAGGTAAGCAGTCATCAGCGACATCCTGTCTATATATTTTTTTTAAAGTACGGTGGACCCCTGCATTCATGATGTATGATGAGTTTCAAATAATATTGAAAAATGTTGTAGGATCATACTTTGGGTTAGGGGTTAAAAACTACCATTAGCTAATTTCTGTGATATTAACGCTTCACTCTATGTATCCACTAGCAGTTGATTTTGAACAGGGAACAGGTCATATGACCTTTCCCTTAAAAGAAAAGTAGAACACTCCCATCTAGTGGACCGAGTACAACAACTGGAGCGGAAAAAGAGGTCAGAACAGTTGCCATGGAAACAGCAGCATTTCTGCAAATCTTACCTGTGCTCCTGGCCGACACCCGCCACCAAGAAGTGACCAGTGTGTGAAAACTTCAAGCTGTTGACAAAACCGACCTGAGGGAGGGAAAAATGGGGAGGCACAATAAGAAGACATGAAGGCTCACGGTGTTGCGTGACGGTCAGTGTGTTTCAAGATCCTTTTACCACTGGAATACTGAAGAGAGGCTCAAGCCCTCGATAATTCGGACCACACTTCCACACTTGCACCTGAGAGTTGCTGGAACCTGTCAAAAAGAACTTGCTGTCACTCTGGATCAACGTGACAGTGTTTGCTGTTGTCGAGCACACTCAACCAAATGGAAATGTGTGTGTATCACACTGAGCTGAATACATTTGCATATTTTCTGATGGGTCATGTAGGTGTGTGTGTGTGTGTGTGTGTGTGGAAAGACGCTCACAGCCGGAGGCACCTGAGGCTACGACGTCGGTGTTCTGAAGCGCGGCCACCGCGGCGACCCAGTGAGGCTGCTCCAGCCCGGCGTCGCCATGGCAACCGTGAGCCTGCTTCACCGTGCTGAGGGGCTTCTTCTTATTGACGCTCCAAAGACACACTGAGCTGAGGAGGGGGCGGCCCAGAAACGGAGGCAGACGTGATCAAGTTGACATGCTGACAATAATGGCGACTGTCAAAAGCCGATGACAGGACGTACCCGTCGTCAGCTCCCGTGATCATGTGCTCCTCGTTAATGAGCTGGATGCAATCTATAGAGCCCCTGCAAAAAAAAAAAAAAAAAAAGTCGTGAAAACTTAAAAGCCGATGTCTGTTTTTATTAATGTTAGAAACTTCAAGAGTGCAAGAGAGCTCGAGCTTCATTGCGCGCCATTTGTAACCTTGACCTAAACCGTTATAAACCAAGCATTCCATGTCATTTGGATATGCAAAACTTAACTCAAAACAAGTTCGTCTGAACACACTGGCGCCATCAAGTGATAATGCAAACACTCACTCGTGGCCGTGGAAGACGAGTTGCGACTCCTCTGCGATTTTCCACACCCGCACGGTGCGGTCGCGACCGCCGGCCGTCACGCAGCGTTCTCGGCTCAGGCTGTCCAGTGCCGTGATGGCATCCTGATGGCCGAAGCTGTGAGAAGTCATCATGGTCGGTAAATGCATATTATTAGAAAGAAAGCCATTTCTTTTTTTTAAATCTACGTCACCCCACTACACATAAGGTAGAACTATTGATCCCACAGAGGATAATTTCACTACAACCACAGTAATAAGCATGACTGTGACAATCAAAATCAAGAAGTATTATTGTAAAAGGATATTTTATTTTTTTTTAGTTTCCTCATGTATAACAGGGCTGGTGTACTTAAGGTGTCACATAGGGACGTCCCGATCATGTGATTGGAAATTGGTGTTGATCATGTGATTTTCAGCTGATCCAACCCCCCCCCCCCCCCAAGAAAAAACATGATCAGGACATCCCTACTCTCACATGAGTGTTAGAGTGAATTCACCCACAGTGTCTCCACGTAGGCATTTTCATCCACATTCCACACTTTGATGGAGCGATCGTGTGAGGCGCTATAGAGATCGTGAGTTCCCCTCCTGAACGAAAGACCCTGCAAACAAGCACGTTCACTCATAAGTGCTTCTCGATGTGCTGAGGTGGAAGCTTGTTGCAAGAACAGATCAGCAACATAGCCGAAATAAAATGAAATCTCAGCTGCTGCTTAAAAAAAAAAATTAATCAATGATTTGCCCACAGTGACTACCTACCGACACGGCGCCTTTGTGTCCTGTGAATTTGTAAAGATGGTTGCAGGTTTCAGCTTCCCAAATCATGATCAGCTTGTTCATGTCTCCAGTGGCCTTAAAAAGTGCATTTTGTTACTCCTCAAGTTGTATGTGACTTTGTTTGTACTGTAAATGTGTTGGTCCTCACCAAATATTTTCCGTCGGATGATATGGACATGCACAGTACTTGAGCCGTGTGTCCAACATGGCGATCCTCCGTCCCCTTCCTTCCACCAGGTATGACTCGCAACTTTTTCCCACTCTCGATATGCCCTGAAGAAATATAAAAGCAGACATTTATAACATTTTCTTTATATCCACAATGCTGAACATACACTGAGGGTATCTTACATTTAATTATGGAGCAGTCTTTTGCAGATGAGAATATGCACTTATCGTCAGGGCTGATGACCAAGCAAGTGATTGGGAGCTTGTGTCCTCGTAACAGACGAATTTCAGAAGCGTCGGGTGGTAATAGCTAAAAGACAAAATATTTAATAGACATACCAGTCACCAAGGGCACCGAGTGTTTAACTTTCTGTTATTCCTTACATCTTTGGCAATAAGTCGCTGTAGTTTTCCTTTCTGTTCAAGCTGTAAAAAAATATATACAAATAAAATAAATGACACAGAAGGTTGCATACCAAATACATCCACGTTCTTCCCACAAAATGAGTGTGTCCATACTCATAGCAGTCAGTCTCACCACTTCTTCTTGAAGTCTTCCCGCAATCAAATCAGTCTCAAATGATTCATCTTCTACCTTTTCTTCTTCTAATGAAGATAGGAGGAGTAAGTGTAAGACAATGTAGACTAAAGAATGAATGACATAACTAGAACCTAACCTTGTTCCTTTAACTGGTTGAGATAAAGTTTGGCTAATCTGAGCTTCTTCTCCTGTGGAGTCTCATCATAGTCATGCTCCTCTTTGGCCTGTCTTTTCTTGGCAACTACCGGACTGTGTAGCACAAA